TGGGCGGTGTGAAGGGTGGAGGGGAAGGGCGAAGATGCCCAGTGTCGTGGGCGTGGCAGATGAAGAAAAGCAATCTGAGCTGTATCAATACCTAGTTTTGTCTTTTATGTTGTAATTGCGACTAGAGAGAGTTAGGATTGATGAACTCAGTTTTGCTGATGTTGCTGTCACAGTACCAAGCAAGACCTGTGAGGCACTCCGTTTTCCCTGTTCTGCTTTTCCCACTTGGCCTCTGGTTTGAGGTGCTTAGTATCTACTATTTTCTCCTTTCTCTGTGGCCTGGGTGTCACCATTGACAAAATTGGCCCAGTTCAACAGCAGTTTGGTGGGTGTGAGCAAACTGTTTCAGGAATATGTTCAAACTGGCAAGGAATACTAATCTCTTGTCCTCAGCCCATATAGTTCTTTATTAGGAAGACCAAGTTGATTTTGAGCACATTTTTTAAAACAAGAGTGGTGCATTTAAAATTAGAATTTTAACATTCTCTGTCAACTATGGAGATCAGCTCAATAATGCTGTTGTAACTTTATATAGTGTTTACATATTATTAACTAGAAAGAATATAAAAAAGGGAGAAGTTATATGGATATCTAAAAGGTATGATTTCATATAGAAATTTTACTAATCAAATAGTCATATTTTCGATAGTTGAGAATGACAATTGATTTGGCATGAAGGGAAACAATTAAAAGTGCTTTTAGAAGTGTTCTTTTTACTAATTTTTTTGGGGAGGGCAATAAAGGTGGTTTGGGATATTTCAGAATTGCCTTTCATTTAAAAGTTTAGAACAAATCACCTTTAACCTTAAGTTGTATAGTATAATATGTTATGGAGTTATTGTTGATGGTGATTAAATAGTTAATACTTAAGTTTGGAACTTGATAAAGTAAAACTAACTTCCTTTGTTTTTTCTCTAAAGGCCTACAAGATATCTTAATGGAGGAGCTCAGAATAATTTGCTTTATTTTTTAATACTAGATAAAATGAGAGCAATGTGATATAAACTGCAATTTTGTTTTTCAATTTTAAAATTATAAAACAGGTGCTTTGTAAGAAGTTAGAAAGGGGTATGTTCCATATAAGTACTACATGAGTTTTCTGGTAAAGGAAAGGCTGCAACTTATTAAGCACTTACTGTGTGTTGGACACTGTGCCAAGCAATACATGATTTCATTTAATTCACACAATTCTATGAAGTGTAAATATTTTTACTATTTCACAAATGCAATGAATGAGATTTAGAGAGTTTAAGAAATTTGCCCAAGATCACATAGGGAGTGTGTGGCTGAATCATATTTTGAATCCAGGTCTATTTTACTCCATTATTTTAATGTGACTTGGAGCAAGCTGAAAATTTATGAAAACATGTTTTATAAGGTTTTAAATTCTGACATCCAAACCTGAGTGTTAATTAGTAGAAAACATTCAAATAATATGGTAGGAATTATTGTTCATAGAAAAACATATTTAAATGCACCCTGCTCTTTTTTTTTTTTTTTTGAGACACAATTTCAAGCTGTTACCCTGGGTTGAGTGCTGTGGCATCATAGCTCACAGCAGCCTCCAACTGGGGCATAAGCAATCCTCTTGCCTCAGTTTTTCTATTTTTATTAGAGACAGGGCCTTGCTTTTGCTCAGGCTGTTCTTGAACTTGTGAATTCAAGCAATCTACCAACCTCCCAGAGTGCTAGGATTACAGGCATGAGCCACCATACCTGGCCAGCAGCACATGGCTCTTAAGGTCATGACAAGTCCCATTGTGATATCAGAGTGGAAAAAGACACTCTCTATATGTTCATGGAAGAGTTCTTAGAGACAAGCCACTTGATGTTGAACTATCTATCCCATCAAGGGCAAGCAAATTGATTTATGTTTCAGAAGGAAAGCTAGGGTTATTTGGTTCCCATGTATTTTCCATGTGTTTGAAAGGAAGTGGAGATGGATTAGAAAATAGTAAGGACCACAGAAGTAAAAAGTTAATTTGTGCAGAGCAATTAATTATGTGCCAGGTATTGTTGTATAGTTTAGAATCCATTATGCCATTTAAGTCTTTCAACATTTAAGAGGCTCCTTAACAATTTGTCTTTTGAGGATGAGGAAATTGAGTAACAAATATGTAACTGAAACAGTAACATATTTGTCTAAGATTTCATAGTAAGTCATGGCCACAAGAATTGATGAGATGTAAAGCAGAAAGCCAGTGGTTGAGTATAGAAGTATGAAATTAAAGTTATATTTATATCAATCTGATCTTAAAACAGAAATTAAAGTTACAGAGAAATATTTGGTTTAATTATTTAATTTTGTTATGTTTTTTCATGTCTGTTGGAGAGTACCATCCATTGCACATGCTTTATGGTAAATCAGTTTCTTTATTATCAGGATTTGATGGAAAAAATGCTTGGACAATGTTTAATTATGAACCCGAAAGCATGGATATGACATTTAATGACTGTCACTCTGATGTTTTAGAGACCAGATTTAAAAGCACAACTCACTGCTGAAGAGATTTTAGAGGCTAAGCAATAGATTGTTTCATTAATACCAAAACAATTCTCCAGGCAGATAGTTAGGGTCAAAGTTATAATTGTGATACTATGCATATATTTCACATTATATCATATACTTATTTTAAAGTTATAGGCAGTAAACAAAGGCTGTGCTTACAGACTTCCAGTACCAGTTCTGTCCCTAGCTGGAGCTACGTGATTTTAGCAAATTATTTAACTTCTTTGTAATGCAGAATCAAGCATTCAAATTTAATCAAAGGAATTGGGCTACATGATACATTGTACTAACAGTCTCTTGTGTTTATTACTATTTCAGTAGTTCCATTTACCAACTATTTGAGAATGTTAGAGGTACTTTCATTTATTTTACAAATAAATATTTCAGCCTAATCGATATAAAGCAGACTTTATTTCTGTTTTTATTTTATTGGGGATAACTGGGTGTTTAAAAAAAATCAAAATGTTATGTCTGACTCTGCTGCTTAATGTCTTTGGGACTTTATTTACCAAATCTTTTTACTTCTCCAGCCATAGATTTCTCATTTGTAAAATGGAGGGATAGTAGTATCTAAATCAGTAGTTCTCAACCTTCCTAATGCCGCAACCCTTTAATACAGTTCCTCATGTTGTGGTGACCACCAGCCAGAACCACTGATCTAAATGATAAAATTCATGTAAAGCATTTGTTTTAGAGCCTGCTAGAAATGTAATACTTATTAAGCATTTAACTGTTGTTGTTTCCACTAATTCCAAATATTAAAAATTATGATCACAGTTTCAGTGTGTGATGGCTACAAACTTCACTTTGACCTGGAGGGATATAATTCTAACAATAACAACATGTGTAGGTCAGATGTAAACAAAACATTGTGCTACACCATAAACTAGTTCTAAAATAGTGGAATGATGTATACTTTGAGAATAAAAAGTGGTTCCTATGAATCTGCCCCTCCACCTTTCTTGATGATTATTTTTACCATCACAAGAAGGCTATAGATTTATTTAATATCCTGACTCAGATAAAAATTTAAACTTTTATTTATGAAAATGACTGGATTTCCAATAACCCACATTTTAGAAATTCGAATACTGAGCAAATACTAAATGATTAATAATATTTAGATTGCAACTTAAATGTGACTTTGTAATATTCATTCTGTTTATAAACTTCAGAATTTTTCAGGACAGATTATAGGTTTTCTGTACTGAAAAATCACTTTCTAAGTCAGCGATTCTCAACCTGTGGGTTGCGACCCCTTTGTAACAATGAAAATACATGGAGGCGTTAGGAAGGTTGAGGACCACTGCTCTAAGTGGAAGTATTTTATAGTTAGGTGCTTTGTTACTTTTCTGAGTAACTTCAAGATAGGTGTGCCTCATGCTAATTCTAATATATAAATGGTATTACAGAGTGGATGTGTTCTTGCTTGATACTGGTATTATTTTGTGATTACATTGATGATTAAAAAATGTGAGGAGTATAGCCTAGAATGATAACTTTTTTTGTGTGTATGGAAATGAAATAGTTTCACACATTGGCAGGTATCTAACTGTAATCTGGTAAAAAAGTCAGTATGAAAGTATACTTTTGCTATTTCAACTTAAAAAATAAAAATTTATGTAATTATTTACTGATAAATTGATTTAGAATATATTGCTGAGTCTATTGTAAAACACTTGGGAGTCACAGAGACACAACTAAAAGAAGGGGCTATACAGCTAGCTGAAATGAAGGCCAGCTATCCTGAGGGACTCAGACAAAATTTCAGAAAGAATTGTTTGGGTGTTGAACAGTAGTGTTCAACTAATAGAGACCAGAAGTCCTAGAACATAAAGGGGCTTTGGGCCTTGTTTCTTCCAAGCGATTGGGAGTCACTAAACCCTCTTTTCCTTTAGTTTTCTTATCCATAAAATAGCAATAATAAAGACTGTTCTTTGAGAAAGTGGTGGCACTATTAACGCTAATGTACAGAAAAGATAATTGAGGCTCAGAATCATTAATTTTCTCAAGGTCACAGGTAGCCTTATAATCCTTATTTTCTTATTCAAAACTCAGTTGGCTATCTTTTGTTACTTGTAAGGTGATGTTATTGTAAACACTGCAAAACATTCCTAATTCCAGACAACTAGTTTAGTTGGGAGAGAATGATACAGTTATATTTGAGAATGTAGAATGAAAGTAGTGAAAGTAGTGAAACTTTTGTTGCAAGAACAACCTAAGAACCTGCTTTCAAGAACAGAAAATCACAAAGTAGTATGAATATACACCTCTAAAATGCTTTGTTATTTAGAAGTCTTTCCAGCTTTATTTCACTTTCAAATATGTTCTGGTGGACTCCTCCTAAATGACAGCCTGAATATGCATTTCATATAAGTAGAGTCCAAAGAAATGAATATTTTATAGTATTTTTAGGTAGTATTACAACATTTTTATAGTGGGTGTGCTGTGTGTTTAAACTAAAATGTAAAAATTCATGCTTTATTTCTAGTTGTGAATACCTTTGGACAATTGATGATATTTATTATTGTACCCACATTCTTCAAATAAAAGATGGGTGGATTATTTTCTCGATGGAGGGTAAGTTACTTTTCTTTCTAGTTCTAAAATCTAACATAAAAATGTCATATAAAGATATTTGTGAAAGACTCTTTTGTGGTATAGCATTGAATAGTTGTCTGATATTATCCTTAATTCTACAGAGGTTGCCAAAAATATATATACACATCTTAAGAAAAGAAAAAAACTGTATTAAATTTGTAATACTCTGTAAATACTGATAACAAAAGATAAATACAGTTCACGTTGAACACCCCATGTAATTGTAGAAGTCAAATGTAACTTGAGTATTACAAATTTAATAGTGGCATTTATTCTACCTGGGATATAGATGGGGTGATATTCTAGACTGGGGAGAAATCCCCAGTGGGAGATTTGGCTATGGCAGACGGGGATTTAAAGGGTTAGGGAAGCCAGGATTGGTCCGTCGAGCACTTCCTAGGAGGGACATATACTCCATTCTTCTTGGGTGGTTTAGGTTTACCTGGGCAGGTAGAGAGATAAAGTAGTCTGGAACAAACTGTTTATTTTTTGACTCCTAATTACCATAGTACTGAAGTCTAACTATATTTGGTACACAATGTAGTGTTTGTATTCTTGTTAGAATAGCCTTGCTTTGGATTGGTGTTATAATCACTCCCTTCTTATGAGCTTATGATAGTCTGCCTGAGGATCATATTTTTCTCTTCTCCCTTTGTCTTATTAGGTTGAACTATATGAAATTGCTATTATTATAAGTCAAAGTAGTTGAATATTGGCAATTTCATGCGGTTTAGCCCCGTGTTAACAACTCTTATGGGAACTACAATGAATTGGTATTTATTACCCTCTTGGACTGCTGAATATGTAATTGATAAATATTTTCTAAGGTGTTATATGACCCCTTTTGGCTGGCTTTTATTCTGGGTGTATAAAAAATAACTTTGGCAAATAAGCTTTGTGGTAATGAGATATTCTAGATGCCCTTTTAAAATCTGATCTTCAAAAAGTACTGTAGGAATTCACAATGAAGGTGGCTTGTTGATTTTGACCTCCAGAGTCCTAAGTGAACTTTTAGTAATAGCATATCAGACTATCTTTAGTCTGTGAATTCTTTTAAATAATCTAAGAAAATTTTTCTTGGAGGAAAATTTGTTTCTCTTTATAAAAGTATGTTCAATTGAGGTTAAGAATGGTAAAAGTTGAGCTAAAAATTAAAAGTCCTAGGATCCTAGGATTAAAAATAAGTAGGAAAATGCTTTTATACTCTTATATAGTTCTTTTTTTTTTTTTTTTTTTTTTGC